TTTGGTGGTTCCTCGTGGTTATCCCCACGTATCATCAGTGGAAGAATGATCTGCATGAATAGGTAGGGAAGTGGAGCTAAGTACGGGACTCATAGTATCGGGTACATAAGTGACACCTCGCCAATTTCATCTTGACCGTGGGCGAGATGTGCCTTCCAGACCTATATTCCACGAGAGCGTCAAGACACGTTTGGAATACCCACTCTCAAATTATTCCCGAAGAGCGAAATATGAGAAAGGTGCCGAGATGTGTGTTTTATGAAAAGTATTGTCAGTTGTACGGTCGGCACGAAAGTATATCTAGTTCGGCTCAGCGGTATTAACCTGAAAATCTCACCGATTCCCAATGTACTTTTTACCTTTTCAACAGGCTCTGCTGGTGTTCGCACAGGCAAATTGCGGAATCAGATTGAGCGCGACGCGACACGCACAGGATCATTTCGAAACTCTGTCCCGATTCTGCCATCACAATCAAGAGCCGGAAAAATCCGCAGTCAGAGAACACAGCGGAAGCGGGGCCGGGGTCTCTTCTCGACTGACGTAATGAAAAAATTTCCAGCATTTTTTTTATGGACCGAGAACAATAGATGTTCTGATCGGCGTGTTGCGTAGGGGCGAGGAGTGGCAGGATGGAGGAAGACGGTGACGGTGATATTTACCAGTATGATGATATCTTGATGTCAGGAGAGGGGTGTGCCTGCAGGCAACGAGGAGGCGAACACGTTGCAGAAATTATCGATTTCGTGGATCGCGCAGATATTATATAGATCGACGGGACACTGACACTGATAAGTTACTCGGGGACGGGGACGAGAAGAAGGCTGAGTCAGTCCGGGGAGCTCCGTGGAAGGTTATGTAAGCGTGGACGAGGGCCGTCTAAAGTCATCTTTCTCACCTTGTCTGCCATCTGTTCAGCCCCGCAACGACAACGCACTTAGAAATTCATTCCCTTTGGCCTAATATCATGCTAGTGGACAACACCCTTCACCAATCTCACTTCACACTTAACCCCACTGACCTATCCGACTTTGTGAACATGGACTTGTTCACCACTCAACCCCCCACCACCTCCGAGTCTCGTGAGCCCTCCCCTTCCCTCTCTACCCCACTCTTCTCCCCCCTACCTATCATATCCGAACCGAATCCCTCCGACTGGTTCAACTTCTCCCTCGAGGATGACTTTACCAAAACCGACCAATCCACACCGCCACCTCTCACTAGCGTCCCTTGGGATTTCCTCACTCTTTCGACCGACAGCCCCGACTCTGGAAGCGCGAGCACAGGACGCGGTCCTTCCCCTTCCTTCGCCATCGATCCGCAGCTCATGTCAAGCACCGTATCTCCAGAAGCCACGCATGACCGAGTTGACGTGAAGGATACAGCGGAGATAGGACTCGAGGAAGAGGATGAGGAAGAAGAGACTGTCACGCTACAACCTGTCAAGGTCGGTGGCAAAGGCAAGTCCCGGAAGGGCACTGTACAGTCTGGCGGTGTTCAGAAGAAGGCGACAATTTCGGCAGTCGTTCGGGATAAGACGACCCGAGAGACGATGGCGATGATTGGCGTCCATCCCCCGAAGAATACAAGAAGATGTCTAGCAAAGAAAAGCGTCAGCTTCGCAACAAAATCAGCGCTCGTAACTTCCGAGTTCGTCGCAAGGGTGGGATGATCATCATTTCGTGACCACCGAGGCTGATCAAATTATGCACCAGAGTATATAACGACGCTCGAAGGGGACATCGCAGAACGCGATCGTCTCATCGATGCCATCCGCAATGAGCTCGGTTCCAGCCAGTCTGAGAATGCTGCATTGAAGAAAGAAATTAGCGCACTCAAGACGGCTCTCCTCGCCTCCGCAGGTCGGGCCGAGTCTCCAGCACTGCCACCGCCTGGTCCCATACGTGCCAATACGAGCTCCTCACTTGTGACCCCGAACACGCAAAAGGATCTGCCATCTTCTCCGCATCTCTCCGCATCAGCTGCCAAAGCGTTTTGGGGGGGAAGCACCTCCTTTGGCGGTGTTACGCCCGTTCACACCACACTCATTCCGGAGAGCTTCGCACAGCCGCTCGCGAGCGTTAAACCACTGGCCGGGGCGCGCTCGTATAGTTCTATACTCCAAGAGAACGTTAATCCTTTACTCAATGCTGGCAAGTCTGGCTTATCACCTAATCCTTTTGGCCTTTCCAAGTCTATACCATTCGACCCTTATGCCGAAGCGAATCCATTCTCAATGAAGATGCTCGACGCGTGCGTATCATCCTTTATGATAGAGCTGTATCTTGACTACCTTGTAGATATCGAACCCAACTCTGGACCCGCATTGCCCAATCTCAACTGACGCAATCTCATCCGCAGCCATCTCCCATCACTGGCCTGGCTGCTGGTCTTCGTCCCCATCATTTCACATCTCAACATGCCTCTTCATCCTCTCTCTCCTCTCTCCTTAGCGGCAAGCACGCTTCCACCTATCCATCCCCACCCTCATCACCGAAGCTCGATCCCTGGACTCCATCCCCGAAGGAAGTACCCACACCAGAACAGGCCATGCTTGCATCCATGGCCTCGCAGGCGCTCCTACAACGGCTAGGTAGCGCTTTCTTCCAAGCCTTCACCACTAACTCGCCGTCGAATGGAGCAACTCCCAGTGCTGGTACATCATCTTGGGACGTGGACAAAATCCGACGTGTTCTGGAAGGGAAAGCAGTTGTAAGCATCATCGACGTCGAGCCAGAGGTGAAGGTGCGTGCCCTCCTGTTTCCTCGCTACGAGTCTTTCTAATAAGCGAAAAGACGTGCGAAACTTCGATGGGGTGTAACCTCACAACTGCGCTCGACGAAGGCATGCGTGCGCTGAGTTTGAGCAAGGACTAGGCGTATTTCCAAGTTGTGTTTGTATTATTGTCATCATGATATCTGGTTGGTTTGTCTCACATTAGCATCTTGATCGTATTCTTGTCGCTTGTTCGTCTCATTCGCAGTACCCGTGTTGTCTCCTATCAGTTCCTTGTCGCGCTGCTTGTAGGGAGCTGTCTCATTGCCTTGTTTCCCCGCTTCATCCCCACAAAGAAGTAAATGACGGTTTCATATCTACTACTAATCGTAACTGGCTAGTTGGACGATCGTGCGATCATCGGAGATGCATGGGTGTTGGCTTGGCTCACGCAGATATGGCCAGCTTGTAGACACGAGGGTGAGGCGATGGGTCCAGATGATCAGGTACAGCCCAACGTCTCCGTACCGGTCCTCCCGATTACGGCTTGTGCGTGTGACCGCGTGATGTTGCTGTTCCACCGGCTCAAGGAAAGGGCCTGTATGGAAGTCTACATACCCGTAGAATCGCCTTGCGGGCTTGCTCTGAAGAACGCCCACTGAGTAAGGCATGATCGGACACAGCAGGGTGCTCGGCACGTCCGACGCAGTAGTGTCACCGGCTCAGGGCAACAAACGATTCAAAAATCCTTTTCTGGGTCACTTTTGCCCTGACCCGGTGACACCACTGGCCCGACCTCTGTTCATTCCCGGCTGTGGTGGAGCTGATGCAGATGCGGACCTTGAGTCATTGGGTATATTGGGTAATCAACATTTACGGCGCAGGCTTGTATTTAAGGAGGTGCCATCCATCGTCCCTCTCTTCGTCCTCATTCTATCTTCTCTTTTACAACGACCTCTTTCTTACACACGAATTTTCGTGACGATCTACTACTACTACACCTACATCTACTCCTTGCCTTCAGTTTGTCATGATGATTCTTCAGCTCTCCACTGTGCTCCTCGTCTCGGTTCTTGGCGTCTTCGCTGCTCCCGTCTTCAACCCCATCCGTATCTCAAGTCGGGATGTGTGGGCGCCGCAGATCTTCGAGCCGTCGTCGGATACCACTTGGGTGGTGGGCTCAACTGCGACCGCTACGTGGTACGTCAAAGAGCCTATCCCTGCGGATGTAGCCGAAAACTCACACGTGACCCCTCCTTCATTTTGCCATGTGCCGAACACACACATTCACAGGGACACTTCAAACCCCCCCGCGCAAATCACGAACCCTCAAGGGACTCTTGTATTGGGACACTTGAATTCTGATGGGAGCGGAGGCGAAAATCTTGACCTTGGTCAGTTGGCTGGACTCGACATGCTACGTATTCATTCCATTGATCCATATGCTTCTATTGCTTTAGATAACCCCCTGGCGCAAGGCTTTGACTTGCACGATGGGTCGGTCACGTTCGACGTCCCGGACGTTGAGCCCAATAACAACTATATCGTTGCTCGTACGTATCCTGCCCCTCCTCGGCGTTCGTCGTGATGCTTACTAGTCTATCGGCCCGGCAGTCATCGGTGACTCGGGCAACATCAGTCAAAATTTTACAATCAGCGATTGAGAATGAAAATGGCATATTGCCGCCGAGACGATTCCTTATTCAAGTTCTATCGACACGATATCTGACGCTGGGGCTGTATATGGACTACTACGGTTTTGGATGTTGTATTCTTTGACGGACAGTTTGTGACGCATATCGGGAATTGAATTGTACTATTGTATGACCTCGTTCTCAGCTATATTTCGTACATTACTACTAGTTGACTTGATAATTTCGAAGGGCCCTGTCTGCCCAATGGACAATCGCTTCTATTTCTATGCAGGTATTCCGAGTACGGTGTTAAGATCCGGAGTTTGGGGGGCGTGTTTCAGAATGGTTTCAAAGAATGCTCCCCGACGTCTCTTGGCGTTCTAATGCGTCGGCTTTCGATGGCCTTCGCGCCAATTCTGCGTCCATGTGGGGCAAGGGAGTACCGACTATCAGTCAGCTACGTTTGTAAACTGCCGCATGACTACGTCTTCGCTGTAGTTCAGCAGTTACAGCGGCCGAGAGCTGAGGTTTGACATCACTTAATCGGGTCCAGGTCAGAGCCCCAGCGTAGAATATTCTCAATTACGAAACAACTCCCGAGGAGGACGTTGTTGTCGTTGTGCAGGTGTGCAGGGTGAAAAAAGTCAGATTTAAAGGTCTTGCCAGGGTTCGAACCTGGGTTTCGGGAAATTTGTTATCACCTGCTCAAACAAGCAGTAGTCAAAATCCCGAGTGATAACCACTACACTACAAGACCATGTTTACCTGTAACCTATGATAGGTGACAATTTGCACGAAATTAAGGGACACGCCCAGGCCTGTCACGGTCATGTGATGACTGTCCTAAAAGGGCGGCGCTCCCCTGATATCGACATATCGACATCGAGCGATCAACCGCGTAGTTCAACCAGACTCAAAGTTGGGCTGCGCGTTCAAAACCGTTTGGCATTTCAGCACGATGCGTACCTGTTGAAGCAAGCAAGTAGGATCCCCCTTCAATTCCACCCACAGTCAGTCTCAGTTGCTTTTGTGCAAAATTACCACAAACCCTTATTCATTCGCAGGCAGGTACTCAGTCGGTCTTCCCTATTCTCGCTCATTTCTATGTCCCTGGTCGATAATAATCCCTATTTAACTCTGAGTACTTCCTCGGAGCCATCCAAACCATCGTCTGCTCGCAGCGAACCCTAACATCTGGCCATTTATCCCTCCACGACGTCACAGAAGCTTACCGCACCCTTTCTACGAGAGTTAGGGAATCCTCTTGTCACCTGTCTGTGTGTCTGCCTCCTTTCCAGCACTAGACCGCTCAGAGATAATGGCACGACTGTTGTTGCAACCTTAAGGAGGGATATCTCGCGAAGTGTGCGTAGCTCTGCACGACATACGTCCAGCGATCAATCGCCCAGGCCGTCTTGTCCAACCGCAGAGGCTATGAGCTGGGAGCCGACGATGTACAACACGAATCATGCGACTGATGTCTCGACTCTTCGCCATTATGCACTTCGTTTGTTGTCAGAGATATTTCGATTTCCGGCCCTCTCATCAATGTTCACGTGTACGTCCCTCTTCAGCGATCAGAAGCCACTCTTATGTTGCTGCTAGCGCAAGACCTTGGACTTCTCTTGGGAGATGTTATCTCCATCATCCCTCATCCCCAACTTCCATCCTCCAAGGCATCAAAGACCACAATACTTTCGTCATGGGTAGTCCGGACGCAGAGACTCCCGAAAGATGTTCTGCTTCCTCGCATGGAAGACCTTATTCTATGCCTCAAGCTTCATCTCGAAGCCGCAGTTAGAGATACCCCTTCTGTTGTTGTAACCGTAGTGGACGCGCTTGACGTGAGTCGACGATCTCTGCAGTATATTATCGTGCTGATCCTCGGTTATAAGTGTATTGTTAACTTATTGACATTCCACCGACACATTTTCGTTGAACGCCTGGCTGGTCTCCTGCCTTCCATCTTTCCCTTCGTCATGCATACATCTTCACAGCTTCGCTACCATGCGGCCGTCGTCCTCGCATCATTTTCCCACACGCTCATCACGTATCGAACCCTCGTTGGCGAAAATACATTAGAAGCTATATGCACTTGTACCCATTCGTTCCTCACGCCTGAAACCACACGTCACCCTACATCATCCCGGAAGCTCCCTCCTTTGCTCGACGCAGCAGTGTCATCGACAAATTTTGGCAGTGTAGGCGAGAATTCACCTTGGGCATTGACCATCGTGGCAAGTTTTACCGTCCTCCTCGGACCTTCACTTTTTTTGCGCCAAGGACCTCTCAAGCTTGCCATGAACATTACGCAGAAAGCTCTGAGACATCGCCCAGGGCGTGACCTCAACCCTCTGGTTTGGCGCACGTTCATATGGTCGATGACCCAACTTTATTCGCAGCGAAGGTTGACTGCAAGCGGGGACATAGACATCATTCAACGTTGCGTCCTGGTACTGAAGCAAGCCTTGCACGCTGGCCTGGGCGCAGCTTTACTCGTCGCCCTGTTAGAAATGACCTCCAGAGATTTCCAAAACGAAAAGGTACATGAATGGGTGGTCTCTAGTGCGATCGACATCCTTCATGACATGCTGTTCAGCAAGTATCAAGACATCCGAGATGATGCGTGCCGGCTACTTGGATGTCTCACCTGCGGAGTTGGAGCCACTAGCGACGAGCAGCGCAAGACTAGTTGGGCTGCTGATTCTTTTCCACCTCGTGTCCTCTTTGATGGTTTGCTCCTCCGTGCTGATAAACTTCAAGTCGAAGAAATGGCAAGGACAACGGGTGTTTTCTCGCCGCGAAGTCTGTCCCAGGAAGATATTCTAATTTACTGGGCCCCACTTTCATCCTGTTTTGTTTTGGTCGTCTGGAATTGTCTCAAGCATGGCGATGCCGATTTGACGGTGGGTGTCCGCCGTTATCCCTCAACGATTTCTTCATTCAAGATCGGTGTAGACTGCTGCCCTTCCCGTGTGGCAATCCCTCTTACTAGCTCAAGCCCAGTCGATCCAGGGAAATAGTCAGAACACTGGTTCCGCCGATTTTGGTCTGCGGTTGTCTTCCCTACTTTCGCAATTTCTCCCTGAGTCCTGTGTTCCTCTGTCTGGAGAAGCAGACTCGATCGAGATCCAATCACAATCACTCGTCATATTGAAGCAACTTTGGGTTGTCGTCCAGAACATCTTCTCCCGGACATGGCTGACTCCGGTCGCTTCCGCTTTCCTGACGGCCATCCTACAGCGAACATTCTATCTTGCTAATCGGGAAGTCCTTGCGAATTGGAGTCTGCTTTGCTCGGCTCTGATCGTAGTCGGGATTCCGAACGTTTCTGAGTTTATTTCGCATCAGGATGAGACACAGGCGCCCTGGAAATCAAGAGACACCTTTGGCGCCTGGTAGCAACGCACGGGGATAGTTCAAAGCCCATCAATTGGCAGGATTCCATCTCAAGCCTGGTCTTTCCTATTGGGTGGGCGACTATGACTCTCACGTTGAATCGTTCTCACGTGTGACATGACGCCTCGTAGTTCTTGGAACATGTCTGAAGATGATCTTGATATCTGGGAGCGAGCACTCGAGCGGAGCCTTCCAGTCACGACTACCTCTTCTGAGGCAGTGGATATTATCCACGGCGTCGTCAGTAAATGTCCAGCGATAGGACCAAGGTATTGCCGCGGTGTCATTCTGGGTGTTGTTCTCGTACCTACTGACATCGGCTTTTGTATAGTTTTCCGATAAATACTGCTTTGCGCGTCTGTCTGGCCATCCTCCGGCGCCTCAACCTCGACGAAGGAAAGTCTATCTCGATGATAACGTTATCTTATTTTTGCGTGACTTTTACCACGTCCTATCCGCCTCAGTCGAACACGGCTGATGCGGCTTGCGAGCTGATTAAAGCTTTTCATTGCATGATTATAAACTTGCCTGTGTCTCGCTGGAGCCAGTTGTCGTTGCCGTACAGACGGGACTGGCTCTTTGGATAGAAGACAAGAGCATGTCTCTGTCGGATAAACAGTTCAACGACCTCGTCTGTAACACTTAATTCTCATCACCGTGGCCCTTTCTGAGTCTATTTCTCTCGCAGGTCATGCCCCTCTACGATTCGCTCTTACAGCGTTTACAGTCCCTTCCTCTATCTGTCACGTCTCTGAATGCCCTTGTTCCTCTCCTGACGGCAGCATTTTCGCGGATTCCTCCGCCAGCACTCGGTCCAGCTGCGTTTCGACGCTTCTTCTGCGCAGTGCATGCCCGTCTCGCCGCGCCATCCAACGCATACAGCGACGAACTGCGCGTATGCCTCGATGCCTGTGTGCGTGGATACGGTGGGGAGTGGCCCCCAGGCATGGTCCCTCTTAGCTCGACCTCACAAACACAGAGCCAATTTCAATTGGAGGCCCGATCGACGATTGGGGTACCTGTACTAGCGGCGGCCTGCGAGGTTGTTGAGGAACCAATCCCACACCTACGGTCAATAGCGGTAATCATTCGCTCCTGGCAACCTGTGACTTTCGTTGAGATAGATTTCTTGTGGATCCATAGCACGAAGTTATCCCAGACTCTCAGTATGCCATCTCAGACGCGGCATTCCCCAACGCTCAAAACGTTCCTTCTCCGACGCGTTTCGTAACCGAACCGTCAAAGGAAAACCACGAATCGCGAGAGCGTACCGGACTGTTTCATAACCCTGAGACTAAAAAGCGCCGTCTGCCCCATGACATGCCAGCGTCCAAGCGCCGTCGTGCAACAACATCAACCAACGGTGGCTTGCGTACACACTCAGTGCCCCTTCCGCGCATACCTTCGTCTGTTGTCCCAGGTCGCCGCTCAAATTCAACATCAAAGGCTTCCCCGTACAGTAGACTAGTCATGGACTGCGTCGAAGTTGTGCCTCTCCGCGGACCTTTACACCGCAGGGAACCGGAGGCGGCGAGGCATGACAAGAGAGGGCAACAACTGAGAAGCGGACTGGATGACCACGCGTTTGATGTCACACCTGAAAGGCCGTTTGTACCCTCTGTATCGCGGGCGCTGCCGGGGAAAGATGAAATTGGTAGGTCACCTCGGATACCGGAAGGCAGCGCCGTGTTGTCGTATTGACTATTTATACAGTTCCCGAAACACCGGATGCAGTGCTGAGGCCTGATCGGATGTCGTTGCCCACGGGCCAAGAATCAAGTGAACAATTCCCACTCCTCGCTGTATGACATCGTCCTGATCTGCTGTCGCAGGCCCAGGCAATGGCAGTCCTACGAGGCTGCTCGGCCGAGCGCAACCTTTGGAAGGTGCACGTGTGTCGACGATGGCGACGCGCCTGGCCTCTGCTTTGCACGACGTAAATGACGCGTTTTCGCGTCCAGGCGTGTCGCAGATGCCCGTGGAGGAGTTGGTGGACTCGGCGCAATTATTGGACGCAGCGAATATACAGCTACGCAGGGCACTGGCTCGAAAAGCAACCAAGAATATCAATGTGACGGCGCATCCCGCGTGAGCGGCGCGGGCGTCCCATGTATGGTGTGAGTGCCGTGGTCGTGGGGAGGTACGTAAACGGAGGTCTTTTGGCCAATGGACGCAATCATTGGATTGTTGGAGCGTAATTTTCTGTGGGCGTTGTAGCAGTTGCGTGTGACTTGCCAGTGGCTTTCACTAATTAGACCTTTTTGTATTTGACTAAAAAGCCGATCTGTGGAAATAATATCGGAGATCGGACGTTTCAGTTTCATGCATCATCGATCTCATACTGGCACTACCATTTAC